ATAATTTTCCAGAGCCCCCAATAAATATAAGTTTGCACACTAAATCCCAATCAAAGATTTTTAAAAAGTATACCGCAAAAATTTTACGTGAAGATATTCCATAATTATTTTATAATGTATATAATTTTACCTATACCTTTTTTTAATATAAATTAAGAATTTAAAACCTTGTGGGCCAAGTAGGGCCCCGAAGTGAGACACAAAGTATAATGTATCAGGGGAAGTACACGATTAGTAACTGCCCCCTCCTATCGTCGGTCCTGGAGGAGAGACTCCTCCACTTTCTTCTCTATTCATTTCTCCCTTTCAGCTTACTTGTGCTTGCGGGATTTTTTATTTTTAAACAGCTATTTTAGCTCTTGTCAATTATAATTATTTACTCTGAATATTATCTTGCATTTTCACTTTTAAAGAAAGACCTGGAACCAGAATTTTCACTAGGAGGAGCAATCTTAATTTGCCACCATTCCTTTCACCCCCTGGCACCCTCTAAATTCTGCCATTATGGGCAGTTGCCCATTTACTCCTCCCTAGTTCTAGGTCTAAATAAGTTATTCACAACTAATCTGTGTCTGCTATTTACGTGAATAATAATCAGAAACTATGTTTATTACACTTATTTGTTTTCTTACCTTTACTTCTTATTAGGTGCCAATAAATATGTTGTTAGAAGCTATGTCTAAAGGATTATGGATTACTTATCAAAACTGCCATTTAGACATCGATTTTGTTATTGAAATAGATAAGCTTCTACAATCAACGTCTAAATTGAATGAAGAATTCCGTCTTTGGCTTATAACAGAATTTAGCAATGAGTTCCCTTCAAGAGCAGTTGAATCATCGATAAGAGGTATTTATAATTTATAAAGTATAAGTAAATTTATATATATATATATATATATATATATATATATATATATATATATATATATATATATAATGAATTTGATTCTAAAGTTATTTTCTATTATGCATAAGTATTTTCATATTATTTTAAATCTTTTTAACTTAAATGTACTTTCTTAATTTGATTGATGTATATTAATATAATATCATAGCTCTTTCTACATCAATGACATTCCTAATTCCACCCATCACTCACAATACTACTTATATGCTGATGATTTCCAAACCCATTCTTCCGTCCAGCTAGCAATTATTTAATGTTTAACATTGAGAAGACCAAAGCCATTAGCATTGGTTTATAGTGCTGATTAATTCTAATTATTATCCCCTTCTCTACCCCAATAGGCTACCTATTCGTTTGGGTAAATTTGGTACACTTCCGTTAGAAACCTTGGGATAATGTTTAATCAATATTTGTCTTGGAATAATCATATTTCCCAAATAGTCCGAAAATACATTGCTACGCTCAAACAGTTCTTAAGATTCCGTGATTCTATGCCCCTTAAAATCTGTTAGGTCCTAGTTTCCTCACTCATTTTCCATCACTTCGATTTGCCTTGTATACGGTTTACTATCTGGTGGGCTTTAGATCTGATTAAAGAGACTAAAGAATTGCTTCATTAGATTTATATAAACTGAAACCAGATATACTTAAAGAGCAAGGAAAGCATCCGATACAGCCTAGAAGGAGCTTTCTACGGTGTCTTTATCATCCGCGTACAGCTGTACAGATCTATTAAAGATGTTACCTTTGGGCTTTTTTTTTTTTTTTTTTTTTTCCTCCCGTTTTATGCTTTACGGGGGTTTTCTCAGGCCAGAGGGTAAGGGCGGTGGGGTAATGCGAGAGTTAAAAGACTTCCTTGGCAACGGGACGTGAACTCGGTATTATTTTATCACATACAATCTTCTATCCGAGTCGCCAGGCAACGCGTGGTGCTGTGCACACGCGTTTGCCCGCTCGGCCTCTAAATTTAAACATTCTTTTTTTATTGTTTACTTATATTAATGTACAACGTATATTAATGTACTCACCGTCATGCCCCTCTTATAACAAAAACTATCCTCAATTAACTTATAACTCAAACTCATCTATGTAGGTCTTCGTACATTCTAGATCCAGAACCTCAGCCTCAACCCGGTACGTCTTCGCAAGAAATGGTTGAAGGATCTCCTTTCTATACTATAAACCCGTTCCAAGTGCTTCGTAATGATAGAGAAGTAATGGAGTCAGCAGCAATACACAGTGAACCAAGTCCTCCTCCGATATTTGTAAAAAATATTAAAAATTTCCAGCTATTGTGTACACAACTAAACGAAATCTGCTCCGGCAGTTATTCTTGCCTCAACAGGACCAACGATACAAAAATAACACCAGATGCTGCAGAAACCTACCGAAAAATTGTGAAGTACCTGTCAGAAACGAATGCAAATATTCACACGTACCAGCTGGAACAGGAGAGATCATGATAGATGGTGATAAGAAATTTGCACTCCTCAACCTTAACTGAAGTAATAAAAGAAGAAATAACGACGCTTGGTTTCAAAGTGCGTCAGGTAACCAACGTTGTGAAGGAGAATAAGGAGCAGCCAGGAGTAAGAAATAAAGTCCCACTACCTTTATTTTTCGTGGACCTGGAGCCATCATCTGGTATCTAGGAAATTTATGAAATCAAAAGAATGTACTACACTGTCGTGAAGATAGAGAAGCCGTACCTCAAGAGGGAAATCGTGCAGTGCCACCATTGCAAGGCGTATGGCCACACAAAGACATATTGCCACCACTTGCCGCGTTGCGTGAAATGTGGTGAACAACTTAAAAAAAAATATATATATATTTTTTATTTATTATATTTTTTATTTGTTTTATTTTATGCGCTATCACCATCAGGTCATATCTAGTAGAGCGTCTATCGGGAGAATTCGTTCTTCGTTAAGCTCGACACTTCGTTCTTCGCCTGTCAAACAAAAGCCTCGCCAATCTCGTCAAACGCTTCCAGTGACCCCTGTTAGCTCCGGAGAACGTGAAATCCAGCAGAGTACATCATTACAAGAGAAAATTGAAGAACCACAGGCTCAACCAGGTACATCGTCACAACAGACAACTGAAGAATCTCCCTTTTTTTACCCCCAATTCCTATCAAGTGCTTCAGAATGATAGAGAGGTAATGGAGTCAGCTCCGATACCAAGGGATCCCCGACCTCCACCGATATTCGTTAAGAACATGAAAACCTTCCAGTTACTCTGCTCTCAACTAAACATAATAACAGGCTCTGGAAGCTACTTATGTCTAAACAGAACAAAGGACACTAAGATATTACAAGATACAGCTGAAACATATAGAAACACTGTGAAATATCTCACAGAAACCAAAGCCGATTTTCATACTTTTCAATTACGGCAAGAGCGAGCATTAAGAGAGGTTATAAGAAATCTACACACCTCAACACCAACCGAGGCTATAGAAGAAGAACTAAAAAATTCAGGTTTTACAGTGCGCCAGGTTAGAATGTTCTGAAGGAGAGCAGGGGACAACCAGGAGTAAAAGTTCCTCTACCCTTATTTTTCGTGGACTTGGAGCCAACTCAAGGAATCGAAAAAAAATACGAAATTTGAAGAATGTCCAGTCCATGTAAATCGTCCAGTGCCATAATTACCGCCATAAGTATATGGCCACACCAAGACTTACTGCCATCATTTGCCGCGTTTTATGAAATGTGGAGAGCAGCACAAAACGGAAGAGAGATCCTGCAGTCTGTGCTTTGTGCCTTGAAGGACATCCAGCGAACTACAAAGGCTTTCAGATATATAAGAATATCAAATCAAGATTTCAGAAATCCCAGACCCAAGAAGAAGCAGAAAGATCAAGAGGAGATCCTACCGGAACAAGAAGAGAACCTTCCGAATTAGTAGACCCAACGGTGTCTTTTGCACATTTACTAGGAGGTAATAACGAAATTAGTAATTGTGTGATCCTGCCGCAACAGAAATATTCACCTTAAAATTCTCAATCCCACCCTCAACATCCTACTACTCGAATTCCTCCTAATCCTCAACAATTATATCAACACCAAATTCCTCACATTCCACCTCCATGAAATACCACAGATCTCACCAGTTTACTTACATCTTTCCTCTCCGAATTCAGATCTCTCGTTACCCCTTTGATATCCCTTCTCACCAATCTGGTATAACATTTTATTCCTCCCTCGAAAAACCCTTAAATGACTTCCAATAAACCTATATCCAATTTCCTTTAGAATGCGAATGGTGTTAGAAATCATACAGACGAACTATCTGCTTTATTACTTGACAAAAACATTGACGTGTCACTAATTACACACCAATAACCACTAAACAGCTCTTCAAAATACCAAAATACTTGACATACCATACTGACCATCCTGACGGTAAGGCACATGCCGGTATTGCGGTCCTTGTACACCAATTCTTCTCCCACCACCTACTCCCATTAGCTAATCAAGATTTCCTACAATCCACCGATATCGTAATCAAAACCTTCTTTCCGGTTATTCTTGCATCAGCGTACAGCCCTCCTAACCGATCCATATCCAATGCCCAGTTCAGTTCTCTCCTCGACTCCTTAGAACATCACTTCAGTGGTCTAGAGTGTGGTCTAGACCTCAGTTCAGAGCGTATGATAAAAGTTCAGTCAGTTTATAGTTAGTGATTTTCGCAGTTTTTAGAAGGAGTTCTGTCATAATTTTTGGTTAGAACCAACTATTAATCGTGTTATATCCACAGACAGAAAAGATTCTTCAATATACCGTCGTTTCACGTCAGAAGAAGAAAGGAAAAATCACAGTTTTAGTCGGCTTAAGGTATCTATTGCAGGCATTCTAGATAAGAATATAGGTGGGGAGCGCATGCGCATAGATAAGACTAGGTACTAGATATCTCAGTGTTTCCAGTGACGAGGTTGGGGTAACGTCAACTTTTTTACCACGTTACTTACGTAATTTTTCTTCTCTTTCTTCTTCTATTTCTTATTAATTATTCTTTTTTTTTTCTCGCTTATCAAGATGGTTCTATGCCCAATTTGTAAACAGACCATAGCAAGAGAAGAAAAAAAACAATGGCATGCACTATCACGGCATGTCAGGCCATTTTCCATGGAAAATGTCTAAACGCGGACGAGAGTGAGTTCGAAGCACTGAGGGCATTACGAAAACATTGGGTATGCCCGAAATGTGAAAAGGCTCGGAAAAATATCAAACCGACAGACAAGTGCCTTAGCCCGCCAAGATCGGCGCCACAACAACAAACTGTCGACAGCACGTCACAGCTGTTACTTGCTGCCATTAAAAGTCTAACAGAAGAGGTCAAGGGATTAAAATTCTCCCTCGATGCCAATGCTAACGAGGTGAAAGAATTAAAAATATCTCTCGAAAAGCAAGCCTCTATAACTTTTGAGAATGCGGCGAAATTAGACACTATAGAGTCACTACTGGAGGCTCAAAATTCCAAGATTGACGGACTGGTCCTGGAAAACACGACTCTCAAGTCTCGGGTCTCGGAGCTCGAAATCAGGCTCAATAAAAGTGAGCAATTGCACCTTTCCAGGTCAATAGAAATAAGAGGAGTCCCAGTGAGATCTGGAGAGACCCCGATGGGCCTGGTGATGAGCGTGGGGGCGGGCCTGGGCCTTAGTCTAAAGGTGGAGGACATAGACTATGCAGAACGGATAAGAACCAGGCAAGACGATACACCTGGTCCGCTTGTGGTAAGGTTCGTCCGGCAGTCGCTTAGGGATGAGTTGATCCAGAGGCGAAAAGTCATTAGGGATTTTTCAACACGTCACCTCGGATGGCAAGAAAATGACGCCCACAAGATCTACCTGAGCGAAGCTATGTCCGTAACCAACAGACACCTGTACTGGCTGGCCCGGCAAAAGAGGTCTGCAGGAAAAATCAGGTACAGTTGGTTTAGCGCAGGCAAGGTGAAATGTCGACGAGACAATGGACAGCAGGTTGTCGTCATCAACTCACCATCAGATTTAGACACGTTTGCTTGAAATGCATATACATGTTACATCACTTTGAACAATTTTGTTTTTACTTTTTTATATCACCAGGTTTATGTTTTTGTTGCGTTTGTTTTAATAATAGACTATGATAATAATTTCATTTTTGTATATGAGAATATTTTAGGTCTGATCTGTTCAGAAATTCTAATTTGTGTATTTTTTTTCTTTTGCACAATAGGAATCTGCTTTTCGTTAACTAAATTTTATATTTTTTGTTTACCATTCTTATTAATATCTAGGAAATCCTGCACACTTATTCTTCCTCTCAATAGAGATAATATCAATAGTTATGGTCTCTGGGCTCATGTTGGCTCTAGCTGCTGTAGAAATATTCCTATCCTTAACTCCTTCTGTCCGTTTACCAAGCCACCCCTACTTCTTCCATGACTAATATCCTTCTAACCTGCCACGTCAACGCTCAGTCACTCTTAGCCCATTTTGATGAATTTTACGACTTTTTTCTCCATAACTTCTACCATTTAATTGCCGTATCCGAAACCTGGTTGAAACCCACAATCCCGTCCTCCCAGATCCTTCTACCTAACTATACTCTCCTTCGTCATGACAGAGTAGATCGCACGGGTGGTGGAGTAGGTCTCTTTGTCCGTGACAGTCTCAAATCCAAAATCCTTCACTGCTCTTCCATAACCGATTCTCCGCACGTTGAATACCTTTTCGCCGAAATCCTCACAACCTCATCTGCCATTCTGTTTGCTGTCATATATCGCCCTCCTAGAATTCCTTTCGGTGAATCACTTGAGACTTTATTGTACAACTTAATCCCTTCCTACTCAAACATCATCCTCTCCGGTGACTTTAACACCAATTTACTGGCAACATCCTCTGATTATTCCTACCTAACAAACCTCTTTAATTCTCTCAGCCTTTACATAGTACCCTACAATCCAACCCATCATACTCAGTATTCAGAGTCCTGGCTCGATCTAATTATCCTGGATTCCTCATGGATCTAATTATCGGATTCCTTGCCGCATCTCAGCACCCGGTTCCATTTCTATCTTCCCACGATCTTGTCCAGATCTCTTACAATGTCCCATGTTTTGGGGGGCGTTTTTTAAGAAAATTATATCGAATTTGAGATGGGGCCCCCGGGCCTCTACTTTATTTAACATTTCAGATTAAATCGTTATCAGGGTCGACTTATAAGTTTCGGGGGGCGCTTTTTATAAAAATGATATAGAATTTGAGATTGAGCCTCCAGGCTTGGACTTTTTGTGACTTTTCGGATTAAATCGATATCACAGTCGACTATTATGTTTTGGGGGGTACTTTTTATGAAAATACTGTCGATTTTAAGATCGGGTCCCTCGGGACTTGACTGTTTGTAACTTTTCGGTTTAAATCAATATCAGGGTCGAATATTATGTTTTCGGTCACGCTTTTTATGAAATTGCTGTCGATGTTAAAATTGGGCCACCCGGATCTCGACATTTTGTAAGTTTTGGGATTTAATCGACATCGAGGTCGACTATTATGTTTTGGAGGGCTCTTTTCATGAAAATTGTGTCGGATTTGAGGTTAAGTCTTTTGGGGCTCACCCAAAACGTAGTACTCGATCCTGATATCGATTTAATCTGAAAAGTTAAAAGAAGTAGAGGCCCGGGGGGCCCAATCTCAAATTCGATATCATTTTCATAAAAAGCGCCCCCCAAAACATAGGAATCGACCGTGATATGGATTAAATCCGAAAGGTGACAAAAAAAATTAGATTAAATAAAATAAGAACTTTTTTTTTCAAAATTACTCATGGCGATAAAATTTTTCATGAGTGATTTACTCATGGAGATAACATTTTTCACGAGTGATTTACTCATGGAGGAAAAATATTTCATGAATAGTTTTCAAAATTACTCATAGCTAAGCTTCTAGGAGTGATCACTCGTGACGTCACCGCTGGACATTTACTCGAATAAATGCCCAATACTGCTTGTTATAACTGTATTTGATATCATAAAAGGGTTTGAATTTCATTTTTATGCCTTTGTAGTGTTTTTTTATGGATAAGTTCACGATAAATTCAAAAATACATTTTTGAAAGTTTATTTTTTTTATTATTGAAATTTACAACTGTATTAAATATGAAACTAGTAACATGACATGTACAACATGATGAGAAACTACTCATTGGTAGCACTACAATTATATTTCTATTCCAAAAGAATTTTGGATTGTAAGGATTGGGTACGAGAGGAATTTGATGGTTTAGTAGAGCCCCAAAGCTCGATCCCGTATTTACAAATAGGATTTATTATAGTAATATATATGATTCTTTTGTAAATAGTTGGAAGTTTAGAGCGTTCGTCTATTAAGTGCTTCAGTAGTCGAAAACGTCGGGCGGTCTGTAGTCTTTTCAGTCTGGAATGGGGGTTCCAAGTGAGTCGTTTGTTCAGGTGGAGTCCTAGGTATCGGATTTGTTCAACAGGGATAAGTGGAGTGTTATTAAAGGATACTGCAGGACAGGAAGTCATGGGTATACGACGAAGAGTAAAGGTAATTTGATGGGATTTATTGGAATTTATTTCTGAAAGTTAACATATGTATATCAGAAATGAACTTTTTTTTTTGGAATAATACATTCAGCCACTATTGTAGGGCTATAAGTATTAAGGCTAGAAGTTCACATTCATACAGTATATACAAATAATAAAGAAATAACTATAAATATAAAAAGTAAATAAATATTGCTGATAAAGAAATGTAAATCAATTAGAAAAAATAAACAAACAAAATAAAATAAAAACTTCTCAACACATTCATACCTATATACAATATATACATTCGCCCAGGAATCTCCGAGCCAGGCTTTTCCCCCCACCTGTGGAAGGCAAAGCAGGACTCCAGGAGATCCCAGTGCAACTTTTCCAGCCGCATCACTAGTATTAGAAGCCAGTGGAGGCTGAAAGAGGGCACTAGAGCCACAGATGCTCAGGACTTGAGTGGAGAAGCTGGCCATTACCAGGACTCCAGAAGCATATTTACAATAGATCTCGCGGCCACTGCCGTTTTAACCTTCGAGGGACCTTGAGGTACACCACAGGAGGAGTCAGCGAAGGCGCAGTGGGTCGACGTAAGGTTCTGGTTTTCAGAGGAGCATGGGCGTCTAATAAGGATTGCAGGTTTGAGGTTAGGAGAGATACCATAGGACCGATAAAATTATAGGAAGATATGATGTCCCATTGGAAAGTGTAAAGATCAGGTTGAAGGGATTCATAAGAATCCTTGGAATAGGATCCATAACAATCCTCCCAGGAGGTTAAAACGGCAGTGGCCCCGCGACCTTTTGTAAATATGTATATATTGGAGTACTGGCAATGGCCAGATTCTCCACTCAAGTCCTGAGTGTCTGTTGCTCTAGTGCCCTCCATCAGTCTCCTCTGGCTTGCAATACCAGTGTTGCGGCTGGGAGAGAAGCACTGGGTTCTCTTGGGGTACTGCCTTGGATTCCACATTTGGGAGACAAAGCATGATTCAGAATCTCCTGGGCGAATGTAAATATTGTATATAGGTGTGAATCTGACGCGGGCGGGGAGGCCGAATGGGCTAAAGCGTGTGCACAGCACCGCGAGTTGCCTGGCAACCGGATTACAGATTTGAGAAGATTTAAAAAGTACGAGTTCGCGTCCCGGTGCCGGAGGGGATTTTAAATTCTCCGCCCTCACCCCCGGCCCGGGAAAATCCCGCATAGCCTAAAAGGCGAGGTAGGGAAGAACAGAAAAAAAAAGAAAAGAAACAAGAAAAAAATGTTAATCTCATTTAGTTTCTCTATACGTCTCTAAGGAATAATTAGTTTTTTGCTATGTATGTTAATTTTCTTATTGTGCTTTTTTTATTTATTTTTTTTTATTGAATATTAATTCATTCTACCAGATTAAAGGGCATTAATATTAAGGCTACATAAATCATTCACACAATATGTACATACAAATAATAACTAAGATTTCAATAATAAAGAAAAATAAAATAAGTAAATTGATATGCCTGTGTACAAGAAAATAAAATAATAGATAAAAGCTAAATGAAATTAAAGTAAATAAAATACATTCACACCTATGTACAATATTTACATTCACCCAGGGGACTCTGAGTCATGCTTTATCCCCCGATGTGGAAGTCAAGGCAGGACTCCAGGAGATCCTAGTGCTTCTCTCTCAGCCGCATCCCTGTTATTTGAAACCAGTGGAAACTGATGGAGGGCACTACAGTAACAGACGCTCATGTCTTGAGTGGAGCATCTGGCCATTGCCAGAACTCCAATATAACTAAAACTTATTTATTGAGAGATATTACAATCTGTCACAATGAAGGACATTTATGTCATTATTAACCAACATTAATGCCAGGGAATGTAAAGGAGGTATGACTTGTTTACACATGGCTTGCGAAGCAGGTAATGAACAGCTTACTCTAATGCTGCTCAAAGATATGAAAGCTAACCCAGCCATCCAAAATTATGCAGGAGCTACCCCTTACGGTGTGTCGCGTGGTCGTACAGGTATCATCATGGCACTTTTAGCTTATGGTGCTTCTCCAGAAATCGATGATGAATCAGAAGATGAAGACGATGATGAATCAGATGATTTCCAAATTTACGGGTTTAAGGATCTTCATATCAATGGAGTTGTGAATGCTACTGCTTAGCACGACTAAGATATCATGAGTAGTTGTGTTTAAGATTATTATAATTACATTAGCACTCATTGTTCTTCTTCTACTGTTAAGAACAAATGTTAATGTGCTAAAATACAAGAATTATGTAAAAAAAGATACTATCGCTGTGCAATCTTGGATGAATGTTTATAGTTGAGAATGATTAAAGAATGAAGGTGACGCAAATGCTTGTGTAAATAAATATTTTATGTATTTAAGTAACTGAATGATGTCAAACTTAAACCACGATGTTCATAATTATTTGCCCGTGTTTATGTATATAATTGTAAGTGTGGTCCTGCTATAGGATTGTTAACTGTTGTGTTATTAATTTCTATTTCATTGATATTTTTTTTCTTATAAATGAAAAAGTTGAAGATTAGAAAGACTCAACGTACTAGATTCTAGTCATTGAGGTTTGATTAAAGGGTTCTTTTTGTGAGAGTGTTCAAAGAGCACATTCACGCTCCATTCAAAATAAATAAAAATAAATAATACAGAAAAATATAATACTGAAAGTAAATGAATATAAACTAAATTAAACAGAAAGGAACTAAGCTAATGAAAGTAACAACTCAAATACATACATGCTTCCAGTAGAGGCTGAGCAGAGGCGCTATAATCACACATACATGGCTTGAGTGGAGAATTTGGCCATTGCCAAAACTTCCATATATACTTATTCACAAAAGGTCTCTGGCCCACTGCCGCTTCAGCCTTCGAGGAGGATTGTAGGGATGGGTGGTGCTGGATAGGGATTGTGCAAGGGAATTTACACCGTAACAGTCGAGGAATCCCTTATTTCACCTATCCCACTCTCACTGCCCCCTAAAGCGAAACATCCTTCCGAAGTGAAATTCGAATTACAAAAACTAATCCCCGTAAATCTCCTGGATATGATTCCCTTACCTCCCAAATCCTTTCGACAACTTCCATCCAAAGCAGTCATAATTGCATCCTACGCACCACTCACTTCCCTCTATTATGGAAACATTCTACTATTATCCTATTCCCAAAACCAGGCAAACCTCCAAATAGCTTGACATCCTACAGACCTATTAGCCTACTCCCAATTCTTTCAAAAATCTTCGAAAAAATCCTTTTAAAACAAATCCTACCTCTTATAGAATCCCAAAATCTTCCTTCCCATCAGTTTGGTTTTCGCTTCCAACATTCTACTGTTCAACAAGGACTCCGAGTTGTTGATCATATTTCCTCAGCCCTAGAAAACAGAGAATACTGCTTTTCTGGACACAGCACAGGTAATTGAGCTGATATGGCACCCCGGATTGCTCTTCTAGCTTAAAATCCATTTACCTCAGTACTTGTACTTAATCATCCGATCCTATTTCTCCAACCGCTCCTTTCGAGTTCGCTGTGGAACAGAATTTTCCGATATATATCTCGTTAAAGCCGGTGTTCCCCAAGGTAGCGTCTTAGGACCCATCCTTTACATTCTCTTAACCGCTGATATTCCTGTCCATCCCGATACCCTCCTGGCAACTTTCGCTGATGACACTGCTATTCTTTCTTCCAACTCAGTTCCCGAAATAGCCTCCTCAAATTTGCAAAGGCACCTCTCCTTGATTGAGCACTGGTGTAATAAATAGCGTATTAAAGTAAATGAATCCAAATGCCAACACATTACCTTCACACTTCGACGCAGTTCCTGTTCACCAGTAAACTTTAATTCCATCCAGCTTCCTTTCTCAGACATAGTCCGGTATCTTGGCTTTCTCTTAGACCGAATACTAACATGGAACCCACATACCAGACTAAAAGACAAGAACTCAACCGACGATACGGCCAACTATACAGAATACTGAACAGAAAATCTAAACTTTCAATTGAAAACAAATTACTTATCTACAAGACAATCCTGAAACCTATGTGGACATACGGACTTGAACTGTGGGGGACAGCAAAATTTTTTAACATCAAATGTATTCAAGCATTTCAATCTAAAGTCCTTCGAACAATAGTTGAGGCTCCATTTTATGTAACCACCAAAACCCTACATCATGTCCTTAATGTCCCATTTGTCCTAGACATTATCCCCGAAAAATTCACAAAATTTCACCAAAACCTTACCTATCCTCCAAATCCCCTTGCACAATCCCTATCCAGCACCACCCATCCCTACAATCCTCCTCGAAGGCTGAAGCGGCAGTGGGCCAGAGACCTTTTGTGAATAAGTATATATGGGAGTTTTGGCAATGGCCAAATTCTCCACTCAAGCCATGTATGTGTGATTATAGCGCCTCTGCTCAGCCTCTACTGGAAGCATGTATGTATTTGAGTTGTTACTTTCATTAGCTTAGTTCCTTTCTGTTTAATTTAGTTTATATTCATTTACTTTCAGTATTATATTTTTCTGTATTATTTATTTTTATTTATTTTGAATGGAGCGTGAATGTGCTCTTTGAACACTCTCACAAAAAGAACCCTTTAATTAAACCTCAATGACTAGAATCTAGTACGTTGAGTCTTTCTAATCTTCAACTTTTTCATTCATAAGAAAAAAAATAGGAATGAAATAGAAATTAATAACACAACAGTTAACAATCCTACAGCAGGACCACAATTACAATTATATACATAAACACGGGCAAATAATTATGAACATCGTGGTTTAAGTTTGGCATCATTCAGTTACTTAAATACATAAAATATTTATTTACACAAACATTTGCGTCACCTTCATTCTTTAATCATTCTCTACTATAAACATTCATCCAAGATTGCACAGCGATAGTATCTTTTTTTACATAATTCTTGTATTTTAGCACATTAACATTTGTTCTTAACAGTAGAAGAAGAACAATGAGTGCTAATGTAATTATAATAATCTTAAACACAACTACTCATTATGTCTTAGTCGTGCTAAGCAGTAGCATTCACAACTCCATTGATATGAAGATCCATAAACCCGTAAATTTGGAAATCTTCTGATTCATCATAGTCTTCATCTTCTGATTCATCATAGATTTCTGGAGAAGCACCATAAGCTAAAAGTGCCATGATGATACCTGTACGACCACGCGACACACCGTAAGGGGTATCTTCTGCATAATTTTGGATGGCTGGGTTAGCTTTCATATCTTTGAGCAGTATTAGAGTAAGCTGTTCATTACCTGCTTCGCAAGCCATGTGTAAACAAGTCATACCTCCTTTACATTCCCTGGCATTAATGTTGGTTAATAATGACATAAATGTCCTTCATTGTGACAGATTGTAATATCTCTCAATAAATAAGTTTTAGTTATATTGGAGTTCTGGCAATGGCCAGATGCTCCACTCAAGACATGAGCGTCTGTTACTGTAGTGCCCTCCATCAGTTTCCACTGGTTTCAAATAACAGGGATGCGGCTGAGAGAGAAGCACTAGGATCTCCTGGAGTCCTGCCTTGACTTCCACATCGGGGGATAAAGCATGACTCAGAGTCCCCTGGGTGAATGTAAATATTGTACATAGGTGTGAATGTATTTTATTTACTTTAATTTCATTTAGCTTTTATCTATTATTTTATTTTCTTGTACACAGGCATATCAATTTACTTATTTTATTTTTCTTTATTATTGAAATCTTAGTTATTATTTGTATGTACATATTGTGTGAATGATTTATGTAGCCTTAATATTAATGCCCTTTAATCTGGTAGAATGAATTAATATTCAATAAAAAAAAAATAAATAAAAAAAGCACAATAAGAAAATTAACATACATAGCAAAAAACTAATTATTCCTTAGAGACATATAGAGAAACTAAATGAGATTTACATTTTTTTCTTGTTTCTTTTCTTTTTTTTTCTGTTCTTCCCTACCTCGCCTTTTAGACTATGCGGGATTTTCCCGGGCCGGGGGTGAGGGCGGAGAATTTAAAATCCCCTCCGGCACCGGGACGCGAATCCTATTCCAAGGATTCTTATGAATCCCTTCAACCTGATCTTGACACTTTCCAATGGGACATCATATTTTCCTATAATTCTATCGGTCCTATGGTATCTCTCCTAACCTCAAACCTGCAATCCTTATTAGACGCCCATGCTCCTCTGAAAACCAGAACCTTACGTCGACCCACTGCGCCTTGGCTGACACCTAAAATAAAGGAAATGGTGAAAAGAAGGAATGCAGCAAGGCGCAAATACCGTCGAACCCGTTTGCCTGCTGATTATATGTTTTTCAAGGAACTTCGCAATGGAACCCAATACACAATCCGACCTGCTAAAGCCACCTACTTTCATAATGCCCTTTCCAATTCTCCCAATTCCAAATCTAAATGAAAAATATTATGTAACCTATCCCTACCAGAATCCAATAAACTCAGTTCCATCTCGGTGAATCCAGATGATCTCAATGACCATTCCTTATCCTTCACTCACAATTCTTCTCTTACTTTCGAAATGAAACATCATAATTTCAATCCGGAAGACTTCTTTTTCTCCCATGTGTCCTACGATGAATTACTTTCCACTATCCTTAAATCCCACACTAATAATTATGGTCCTCCAAATATTCCAGTGAAACTTATAAAATCCAGCCTTGCTCTCTTTATTCCTGTTCTTTACCATATCTTCAACTTTTCATTGCAAAACTCCATACTGTCATCCTCCTAGAAAACTGCCCTAGTGAGACCTTTGAATAAAATTTCCAATCCTACCTCACTGCACGACTCCCGACATATTTCTCTCCTTTCCAACATTTCAAAGCCGTTTGAACGCCTTGTCCAAAATAAACTCTCCACCTTCCTAGAGGCACGTTCCCTTATCAACCCATTCCAATCTGGCTTTCGACCTGGTTACTGAATGTAATCCGCTCTCTTTAAAATAACCCATGGCCTCCAAAACTCCATTGAACACCAAAACCTTACTATCCTCGTCCTTCTAGATTTTTCCAAAGCGTTCGACACAGTTGACCATAACATCCTCATCACTAAATTGCACAATCTTCCTCTATACAACAGTACCCTGTGTTGGTTCAAATCATTCCTTTCAAATCGGTCCCAGTATGTAGTTGTCCCAGGTCAACCTCCATCTAAAACCCTCCCCCTCTCCTGTGGTGTACCTCAAGGTCCCTCGAAGGTTAAAACGGCAGTGGCCGCGAGATCTATTGTAAATATGCTTCTGGAGTCCTGGTAATGGCCAGCTTCTCCACTCAAGTCCTGAGCATCTGTGGCTCTAGTGCCCTCTTTCAGCCTCCACTGGCTTCTAATACTAGTGATGCGGCTGGAAAAGTTGCACTGGGATCTCCTGGAGTCCTGCTTTGCCTTCCACAGGTGGGGGGAAAAGCCTGGCTCGGAGATTCCTGGGCGAATGTATATATTGTATATAGGTATGAATGTGTTGAGAAGTTTTTATTTTATTTTGTTTGTTTATTTTTTCTAATTGATTTACATTTCTTTATCAGCAATATTTATTTACTTTTTATATTTATAGTTATTTCTTTATTATTTGTATATACTGTATGAATGTGAACTTCTAGCCTTAATACTTATAGCCCTACAATAGTGGCTGAATGTATTATTCCAAAAAAAAAAGTTCATTTCTGATATACATATGTTAACTTTCAGAAATAAATTCCAATAAATCCCATCAAATTACCTTTACTCTTCGTCGTATACCCATGACTTCCTGTCCTGCAGTATAATTTAATAACACTCCACTTATCCCTGTTGAACAAATCCGATACCTAGGACTCCACCTGAACAAACGACTCACTTGGAACCCCCATTCCAGACTGGAAAGACTACAGACCGCCCGACGTTTTCGACTACTGAAGCACTTAATAGACGAACGCTCGAAACTTCCAACTATTTACAAAAGAATCATATATATTACTATAATAAATCCTATTTGTAAATACGGGATCGAGCTTTGGGGCTCTACTAAACCATCAAATTCCTCTCGTACCCAATCCTTACAATCCAAAATTCTTTTGGAATAGAAATATAATTGTAGTGCTACCAATGAGTAGTTTCTCATCATGTTGTACATGTCATGTTACTAGTTTCATATTTAATACAGTTGTAAATTTTAATAATAAAAAAAATAAACTTTCAAAAATGTATTTTTGAATTTATCGTGAACTTATCCATAAAAAAACACTACAAAGGCATAAAAATGAAATTCAAACCCTTTTATGATATCAAATACAGTTGTAACAAGCAGTATTGGGCATTTATTCGAGTAAATGTCCAGCGGTGACGTCACGAGTGATCACTCCTAGAAGCTTAGCTATGAGTAATTTTGAAAACTATTCATGAAATATTTTTCCTCCATGAGTAAATCACTCGTGAAAAATGTTATCTCCATGAGTAAATCACTCATGAAAAATTTTATCGCCATGAGTAATTTTGAAAAAAAAAAGTTCTTATTTTATTTAATCTAATTTTTTTTGTCACCTTTCGGATTTAATCCATATCAGGGTCGATTCCTATGTTTTGGGGGGCGCTTTTTATGAAAATGATATCGAATTTGAGATTGGGTCCCCCGGGCCTCTACTTCTTTTAACTTTTCGGATTAAATCGATATCAGGGTCGAGTACTACGTTTTGGGTGAGCCCCAAAAGACTTAACCTCAAATCCGACACAATTTTCATGAAAAGAGCCCTCCAAAACATAATAGTCGACCTCTATGTCGATTAAATCCCAAAACTTACAAAATGTCGAGATCCGGGTGGCCCAATTTTAACATCGACAGCAATTTCATAAAAATCGTGACCGAAAACATAATATTCGACCCTGATATTGATTTAAACCGAAAAGTTACAAACAGTCAAGACCCGAGGGACCCGATCTTAAAATCGACAGTATTTTCATAAAAAGTACCCCCCAAAACATAATAGTCGACTCTGATATCGATTTAATCCGAAAAGTTACAAAAAGTCCAAGCCTGGAGGCTCAATCTCAAATTCTATATCATTTTTATAAAAAGCGCCCCCCGAAACTTATAAGTCGACCCTGATATCGATTTAATCTGAAATATTAAAAAAAGTAGAGGCCCGGGGGCCCCATCTCAAATTCGATATAATTTTCTTTAAAAACGCCCCCCAAAACATAGGAATCGACCCTGATATGGATTAAATCCGCAAGGTGACAAAAAAAATTAGATTAAATAAAATAAAACCTTTTTTTTTTTTAATTACTCATGGCGTTAAAATTTTCCATGAGTGTTTTACTCATGGAGATAACATTTTTCACGAGTGATTTACTCATGGAGGAAAAATATTTCATGAGTAATTTTCAAAATTACTCATGGCTAAGCTTCTAAGAGTGATCACTCGTGACGTCACCGCTGGACATTTATTCGAGTAATTGCCCGACACTGATAACAAGCACAAAATTATTTAAGGTTATGAAATGATCTTGATGTGATGAAACCACATAATGACTTTTTGCAATAAATCAATGAATTTTTGTTTAACATTATTTAAATATAAGATGATTAACAATTTATGACACTGATGAAGCATACTAGATGAATTTTAAACCAATCTCTGAAGGGAGTTAGTGACATCATACCGTTCTCAACCGTCAACCATGATATTTATATCTGTAAGCCTGAAATCGAAAATTAATAGCTTTTAAACTGATGGTCAAATAATATCCTAGTTTTCACTTAAATGCATTTCAACACATGTTCAATAATAAAAATTGGAAAAAATAAAAACGTGCATATACCATGTTGTATCATACATGATATGATTAGTTTTTTACATTTTATGATTTTTTTTTTCAGTGGTTACTGAGACATCAGACAATTTTAAAACCAAAATGGAGGATATATACATAAAAACTGGTCAAGACTATTTGAATTCATTTAATTATTCTGCCTTTAAGCCGTTACTATATGCTCTAACATTTTTTCATTGCATTATTTTGGTAAGAAAGTTTTAAATATTATGAAATTAAAAACCACACTCTAGTTTAATTGGGATGTTAAATTAATTATATCATTGCTACTTTCAATAAAGTTCAATAGTACTTTTTGAGGAAGCCATGAGGATAAGGTTGGGCTTATATGCATGTTCATTTTCAAGATAATGCTGCCTGTCCTTCGTTCAACAACTGATACTTTATCCTAATTTATTGTAAAGAGATATATTTTATTATTCATTTACAGACCCAATTGATACCCAAATCAAATTTTGTT